TTGCAAGTTCAGAAGCACTACATACCAGAAGTCGGCTGATTCCTTTCCCAGCCAATATCTCTGGTGAAGTCAGCACAAACTTTTCAGCAATAAGTGCACAACATGAACATTCCTGCATTTGCAGATCAGCATGTTCATCCAACTAAACTAGAGACAGAAAATGTACTGGTCGGTATAAAAATTTAAACTAGGTATATGCATATACATACGTGTAAGAATTAAACTTTCTCCAATTAAATTAGTTAAAATATATTTTACCTTTTAAAAAAAATAATAAATAGAAAAACAATAAAAGACAGATTATGCACATCTTTTAAATAATATTTCAAACATTTTCATGGAGAAGATATATATATAATACCCGCCAATATTATAATATCACACTACTTTAAAATTTTCAAACAGCAATTCTAAAAATCAAACTTCTATAACTTATTGGGAATAATATAATAGACATAGAGTAACAGTTGAAGCAAAGGGGCAATAGCTAAATCAAGGCTGGCATGCACAATTCTGCTTGATAATCAACAATTGAAGTAGAAAAAAATAGAAGAATAAAAAAACAAATTAAAAAAAAAAGAAGGAAGAAAGAGAGAGCATGGAAAACCTGTTGAAATCCCTAATTTCCTTGTTCCTAGCTTTATAAAACCAACTTGGTGGGGTTATTTTTTCTAGAATGACCATTATGCATTATGCATTTTATATATTCCCTTGGAATATTAATGACTTTAGAAAATCAACAATCTTCCTAGAACTTTAATAATGAAAATTTTTTTGCTACATTGATTACGCAAACTGTGCAACACAAAAGCCAATGTATAAAAGATACCATATAAGATCAAAGAGATAAAACAGAGGAGATTATACATAGATACATATATATACATCGATATGTACGTATACACAACCGTATTATATCCAAATACCTATTATCATAATTTAAGTTAAATAGAACCCAGAATTCAAATTTTGTCAAAGTGATTTCACAGTGTAATAAGCACATAATGAGTTTTTTAACAAGCACATAACAAATTGAACTTGTTATATCTCAAACCTGTATTTCCCACAGCAATTCACACTCAGACTACAAGCTGACTCCAGATTGTAATTTACCCTTTCGATTGTTAGGCCTTTTGCAATTTTCTAACCCTACAACATGTATTTGCAGAAAAAAAAAAATAAAAACTAGGGTGAGGATCATGAAATCGATGTGGGTTATATGAATGACAAATCGAAGATGGGGTTCTCTGAAAATCGAAGAAAAAGGCATAATCCCTAAAATTTTGAAAGAAAAAAAAATGTTATACCTCAAGATTAAAAGTCTCTGGATATCACCTAAACGCGTCCCTTACATCTTGAATCTTCTAACAGTTGGGCCTGTAAGTGTCAGTGTCGCGGGATTTCTTTCCAAAAGTCCAAGAGTTTAGATCGATGTGGCTGTCGGAACGATTGGGTGAGAGTGGAAGAGAGCGTGAGGGCTTGAGAGTGAAAAGAGTGGAAGAGGCGTGAGGGTGAGGGTGGAAGAGGCGTGAGAACTGAAGACTTTAGGTAAATAGATGTTAAACGACATAGTTTGATGGAAATAAATTAATTATATATATATTATATTTTAATTCTTACAAAAGCGGCAAACAATAAATGAAGGCTAAATTTTGCCGCTTTATTTTTTTGTGGAATTGGGGACGGGCTGTTTATGGTTTTAGGGACAGTTTTGTAGTCCGTGCCAAAAAATAATGTTTTAAGCACAGTTTTAAAGTCTTTAGGGACAGTTTTAAAGACTTTGCCAAAAAAGCATGTTTTAGGGACAGTTTTTAAAAACTGTCCCTAAAAAAGCATGTTTTAGGGACAGTTTTTAAGACTGTCCCTAAAGGACTGTTACTAAAACTCATATTTCTTGTAGTGGGGGGTCGAATTTTGCATCGGTGGTATTTTTAAACCGTAGATCATTGTAGTGCATCCTAATCGGTAAGTTACATTTGCGTGCATGATCATTTTTAAGAAAAACCTCATCCTTGATGATTTGAGCCTTCTATGGACTCATTTTGTATTTTTATTGCAGAATCTGATTTTAGGGTATTTTGGGGTTTTCCTTCGGGAAGTAAATTCCGGTCTTCACATGGTCACTTATAAAACGTAATTTTAGGGCAGTTTATTCTTTGTGTTTTTTCAGAAAATGTCATCATGGTACCAGAAATCCCTTACAAAGTTCAGCTTTCAGTTTATATTTTTGCAGCTTTTTAACCCCCTTGACCTGATTTCATGGAGGGGCATTTTGGGCATTTTACAGTGAGTTTGTTTGTTTGTTTTTTTTTTTTTTTTTTTTTTTTTTTTTTTTTTTTCCCACTATGCCAAATAGAAAATTTGATTTTGGGAGGGGTTTCTTTTTCGTGTTTTTCCCGAAAAATTTGTTTGATAGCCTGTTTCTGCTCTCAGATCATGATAGTCACTGTAGTAACTTTTGCCTTCTTGTCCAGTTCTGATCTAAGGGCATTTTGGGGATTTTTTTAGTGTGTTTTTTTTTTTTTTTCATTTTCTTCTACATAGTCGGGTAGAAAACCTAATTCTAGGGGGGGTTTCTTCTTTGTATTTTTCCAGAAAATGTCATCTCGGACCCGAAAACCCCGCGTCAAATCTGATTTCCTGTGCGTATCTGCACTATTTGAACAAGTCTATTGTAAGGGCATTTTGGGGATTTCACATCAAAAATAAATTTTTCTTTCAAGATGGTCAACTTGGGAAAATTATTTTGAGGGGGGTTTCTTCTTCGTATTTTTTCAGAAAACGTCGTTTAGTGCCTCAAAACGGCACACGAATTTCAGCATTTTGCCCAAGTTACTATTCATGGCCGCGGCAACGTCAAAATTTGTTTTGACTTTTCTCTTTCATCCAGACTCCGAATCAAGTGATTCTTGAGTCCAACTTGATTAATTTTTTGCTGTCTTCCCAATTGTGTGCTCGGTAGCACCCATCGTTATATTTTCAAAAATGACCATTTTGCCCTTGGAGCTATTTTTGTTCAGTTTTCTTGTAAATCGCTTGCACTACTGTCTTTTGAGTTCCGTGACCTCACGGGAAGTTATGGATGTGTCTCGGAAATAATACATTTTCTAGGGACTTCATTTCTATATAAAATGACCATTTTGCCCCCGGGGGCTTATTTGTCATATTTTCGATCTTTTGTTTCCGCATTAGTTCTCATTGAGTTCCACGACTTCATGGAAGGTCACTTTGACTTCTTAGAGTCTTGTTTTCTGTTTTCGTTTTCGCATTTCGGACCCGTTACTAGATCATCCTTTCGGTTCATCCTTAACGCACTAGCTTAAAAACTAGGGTCATCACAACTTTTAACAATGCTCGTACTTACAATGAACTTGGTTTAGGTGATGAATCACGTCTACTAGAACTAGTCACTTAGTTTTGAACAAGTCAGCAGGGAGTCATGGATAAAGGATGGATGCAACTTCAAGACAGGTTGATATAAGCTAAATATCCTTACCCATAAAATTGTAGACGTTATACTTGCTTGCCATTTTTGTTATAATTAAAAATTTGAGTTTTCAACTGTAGAGCTTCAAATGAGTATACAACAGGAGCACAACGCTTTCTTGATTGGGCTCGATGTAATGCAAGGAATTGAGATAACATTTTATGCCCTTGCAACCAATGTTTAAATTTTAAATTCAATATATCAACACTTGAATAATATTTATGGGCACATAGTGGAATATGGAATGGAAGCTACATACACCGTATGGATCCATCATGGAGATAATCGGAGTGCAAATGTACAAAATGAAGGAAATGAGCAAGGTGTGGAAATGCCTGAAACATATAATATGTTCAGAGATGCATATTTTGATGGTGAAGATAATGTTGCTGCAGAGCCTACTGATGGAAGATGCATATTTTGATTTTCATTGCCGGAGATTGTTAAATTCATTATTATTGCTTTTACCTTTATAGTGAGATGATTATTGACTTGCCTCCTATTATTTTGTCGTTGTATGCACGTGTTTGATATTGTAGATTTTCGAGCTTGTGCACAAATATTTTCATTATGTTTGGATATATTGGGGTAAGCATATGGATGCATTCAGTTAATGTTGTTATTATAATTTCTTTAGTGTTTATGTTTGAGTGTCACCTGATTTTAATGTCTTGTTTTCTTTTATTAATGTGCATGTATTTGAAATGAAGTCATCCAAAAGGGCTAAAAAAGCGCAAGCAATTGAACGTCAAGCGATTGAGGCTTCACTAGAGCGTACACCTTCAGGACTACGCATTTTTTATGTGGATTCAATTTCTTCACAAACACCTACTTCTCAAGTCCCTAACAATGAGAACCGAGCAACAGGCGGTACTAAAAAAAGAGGTAGGGGGCAGTCTACATTAGCTGGTATTATAGGTTCAAAAGATAAGAAGCCACTTGTGTGGAGTTTTACGAGTTTGGGGAGACAATTGGGGAGGTTGGTACAAAGTACAACTCAACCCTTCCAATATTAGCACGTGGGATGGTGCCGGTAACATTTGAAAAATGGAATCAACTGCCAGAAACTTTGCTAAAAAAGCTATGGGATGTCGTTCTGGTTTATTTCTTAATTTTTACTCTATAAAGTGCCACAAACTACTTTTTTAGGCAGTCAATTTTTGTTCATTTAAGGACAAGATTTCTGCTCAATTTTAAATAAGCAAAAATTACTCTTTTTAAAAGGCAGATTTCTGTTCAGTTTAAAGAGCTTTTTATGAAGTTATTTAAAATGGGCAGAAATAGCTCTTTTAAATAATGACTAGAAACACCTCTTTAAATGAGCAGAAACGGAAATAAAATTTAGAAAAATAGTTTAGCGAAGTGCCACTCTTTAAAGTTTCAAGTTATGGCAGTTATGATTTGATGTTGACAATAGTGCATCTTATGACGCATTTAAAAAGATGGGAAATGCCTAGCGCTCCAAAAAGTCCGAACTAACAAAAAAGGTGATGTAGGTGAGAAATAATCCACGAAAAATATATCTCCTGAAGCCCGGAAATGTACCCACAATGGAGGAGTGGTTAAGATTTGTTAAGCAACGTTTATCAAAAGATCATGCTGTGAGTATATACATCGAATTATATTGTCCTTTTTACCTCTTTCTTTTTCTTAATTTTTTTTTTTCATGATATATTTGAATTAACTAAACTTTTGCATTTACAGAAGGTTAGAAAGCAGATGCAAGAATTTTAGGCTAAAAATACAACCCCACACACAATGAGCCGAAAAGGCTATGCTGGAACGGAGAGAGAATTGGTAATGTCGAAGCTTTTAATGTTTTTTTTTTTTTTTTTTTTTTGTCACTGTTTAAGTTCACAATATGCTCAAAACTATAAGAAAGAGAGACGATACCTACACTGATGAATTATTATATTTTTCTTTTTTTATTTTCTTATGTAGAAAGAAAATTCGAACACGCCCAACATCATTTCAAGAGTAGACGTGTTGATTAAATGGCATACAAGGAAGGATGGAACTTATTTAAATGAAACGGTCAAGGAGAAAGTGGTAACAAATGTCTCTTTTTTTAATTCAAATAGTTGATCAATTATATATTTATTAAATTAAATAATGTGTTTTACAAATATTGTTGTTACAGGAAAGAATGCGAGAATTTACCGAGACTACTGAGAGTTCAGAAATTACAAATGGTGCACTCATAGCTGTACTTGGTGATTCACATCGAGGAAGAGTGAGAAGGTATGGATTTGGAGTAACAATGACAAAACTAAAATTCCAGAATGGTGCTTCCAGAAAATATGAGAAGACGATTGATGAAATGCAACAAAAATTACAAAGGCAAGAACAAAGGCAAGAGGAAATGCTAAAACAAATTCAAATGCTTCAATCCATGTTTGTAAGTAATTTCTATAAATTTGATGCAATCTCTCTCATTAAAAATGATAATGTTTAATCAGGAAATCGTTTTTTTTTTTTTTTTTTTTTTTTTTTTTTTTTTTTCGTTTCAATATTGTGGTAGGCACAAAATGCTAACAACCAATCTTTTCCCAATGCTCCACCTCAAGTCTCACCTACAACAAATATGGCCGGGTAGAGGTGTGAGTTATTGCATTATAATGGAAGAAGATCAATTGTTGCTGAGGGTGAAGTTTTTGAAAAAAATCCTGATGAATTCCTAGGTCATGCTACTCTTGGTTCTGATTGTTGGCAAGTGTGGATCAATGAAGTCTTTGATAACGATTTATCCTTGTATAGGGCTCAGCCTCCGTATGAGGATTTGAAAGATGTCATTGGATATAAAACTGCATGGCCTATCAAGTTTATCAAATTTTGTAAGTTTCATAGCAACATGTTAGCTATTATAAAGGAAATATTTGCCATGCTTTGCTTTTTTCTCAAATTTTTTTCATTTATGTCTTGTTTTTTTTTTTTTTTTTTTTTTTTTGCTAATATGTGCAGGAAACCTGGAGCAGACCATACTAGTGCAGTGGACTGGTGGGCCCTTTATATCTTGCATTTGGTAAATTGCAATTTCAAGTTCTTCTCCCCTTTGTCATTTATTTTTTATTTTGAAATAGTAGATTTTCTAGCATAAATGAGTTTTTTTGATGTGGGAGAGCCTTTTCAATCCTAAACCCTCTTTCTCTTTAGTAGAGCATATCACACTCCGAGCATGAGTTTTTTTTTATGACCATCTCTAGATCCCAAAGTAAATCTCTAACCTTCTTCTCAATCAAGCCATCAATAAAATGTAGTAAACATTGAACACCAGTAGTAGGAGTCAGAATAAATGATAGTAAGGGTGCACACGGTTCGATTCAGTACAGTTCCGTCGGGAACCGGAACCCGTCACAATGGTTCCTTAAAAATGGAACCGGAATCGAAACTGTGTGTATATGCATGGAATCGAACCGAACCGAAACGAACCAGTCTTTTATTTGTTATCCATTTAATAATGCATATTGCTATTTATGTTTAACAAGCTCTATTGATAGCATAAGTCATTAAGTTGTTTGATTTAAAGAAAAATGTTTTCTGTTGTAGTTAAGAAGTTGCAAACATGCACTTTACTCTGTGGTTCTATTTGAATATATGAGTTACACATTTATTATTTTCTAAGAGGTTACTTTTTTATGTGATAGGGAAAAATGTAATGGCTTCATTTAGTTTATTTCTACGCCTTGACAATGAATGAAGATGGTTGGGCAAACTTGGCAGTGCTACCTTGACAATGAATGAAGATGGTTGGGCAAACGATGGTTGGGCAAACTTGGCAGTGCTATTTCTTTTTGTAATATTTTGTTAGCATTTGGATATATATATATTTTTTTGGTTAACAATGATGGAGAATTTGTACTCCAAATTATTCAATGAATGTTTTGGATTAATTTTTGGCTATTGTTGTTTTTTTTTTAACAATGATGGAAACTTTGTACTTCAAATTATTTAATGAATGTTTAGGATTAATTTTTGGTGATAGTTGTATATATATGCCTTTGGCTGCAATTTGGTTGTGTATGTCAAGTAGGATATGAGTGATATATGTTGTTGGATGACAAGTTACCAATTTAAAATATATATATATGCACACACTTTATACCACAGGCTTAATGTGAGGGAGAACGTATCACATTAATTCTACCACGGGCTTAAACTGTGGTAGTATAAATATTTTATACTATATTCAACTATGGGCATAGATCGTAGTAATAAAATGACCTTTTTACAACGGTCGGTTCCTATGGTACAAAATAAACTTTCTACTATAGGTCATGGCCTGTGGTTTCAAATGAACTTTCTACAACGGGCAATAACCGGATCATAACTGTGGTATAAAATGACTTTCCACTGCGGGCAATACCCTAGGTCATGTCCGTGGTATAAAAGGAACTTTCTACTACGGGCAAGGCCGTAGTATAAAAGGAACTTTTTATTACGGGCATGGCCCCATAGTAGAAATCATCCATAAAAGAGTACGGGGGAAACTACTATGGGCGAAAACCGTGGTGTAATACTTTTTTGCTCGTAGTAAAAGGCCATTTTTCTTGTATCATGTTCAGAGGTTGGAAGTATGTTTGATGTTATGTAACTTTGCATATACTGGTAATGGTTGAAGTTTGATGATGGTTGAAGATTCTTGATGATGATTATTTTTGGTTTTTGGCCTTTTATTTTTGTCTTAAGTGTAATATGTATTTGGTCCAGTTGGTTTTTCCTTCCCTTTTTAAGGCCCCTTGTACATTCCTTTTTGTTGGTCCTAAGTTATCTTAAGGAGTGTTTGCCTTTCAATGTCAAAAGTATTATTTTAGTGGCTTTAAGTATAATTTCTTTTTGCATTGTGTGTTGAAATAAGGTCTAAGGGTTGTATTGACATTTACTACCTTGTATCAAATTATTCTTAGTGTTCTGTGATGTGTATATTTTCACTCGCAATAAAACGATTTCGTGCAGAATAGTGCTATAGAAAGAGATGTCGAATAGGGAGAAGAGATTTATATTTCAGTCTTTAACTTTGTTCTATGGTTTACAGGTAACTTGGTTGGACAGTTATTTGGTTGTCACGGTTTAACAAACTAGAATTAAAACAAAATATTAAATAAAAGCAGAGTAAATAAATTGAGTGATCAGAGAGAGAGGAATCTTAGGGCTTTGACTTCACCACAACCATTATATTATGATTAATTATACTAACTCTGGGAATTTAACAATGATATTTTTCAAAAGAATTGAACTCAATAACATTCATTTAATTCAGGTTTTAAAGAAAGATGTTTTACAAGATTAACTAACTATAACCTATCTGTGGTTAGCGTGGACTATCCGCCTACCTACTTTAACTACTTTATGAATGAACCACCTTTCCTAAGCATAGATTATGAAAACATTATTTTGTAAAAAACATGAAAGTACCATTATATGACCTCTATTCTCGTGTCCGGTAGGGCTCCGCCAGATACTGCACAACAAGATAGGTTGGGAATAAAGAATAAACTATTACATCTAAGACAAGGGAATAACAATTTATAATCTATTAAAGCATGAAAACCACTTGAGTTGTCTCAAGTGCTCATAGTCATATAATCAAGAAAATAATTATATATTAAAATAAACCCAGAGTTAAAACAATCAAACCATAATATTAGGTTGGGTTACATCAGTACTCTAAAAGAAGAATTAACTACTCATGGCGAGGATGAATATCTCAACTAGAGAACTCAATATATTACCATTCATGTTTAGACCATCTATGCCGTATGGATTTGGTTATGATGCATCCACTGATGACTACAAAGTCGTGGCAATCTCATCCCGTGTCACTAATTTATACATAATGAAAACAAATTCATGGAGGAGGATTCAAGACTTCCTTTTCGAATCGAATTCTCAACCATGTTTACTTCTAAACGGAGTTCTCCATTGGTTTTGTTGCCATGTGTGGAGGATGATTTCTTTCGATTTAGTTGAGAAGAAATTTCGAGATATTCCTTTGCCACATCTTCAAAGGATTGAATCATGTTCAAATTATGTAGTTTGCAGTGGTTATGCAGTTGGAGTTCTCGGATGATGTCTTTGTATGAACGTCACAGGTGTGGATGATTGCCGAAGTGGTACCAAATTTTGGGTGATGAAGGAATACGGCAAGAGAGAGTCTTGGACTAAGCTTGGGATTATTATACCATGTAGTTTTGACGCGAAGCCTCTGAATTTCTCAAACAATGATGAACATCTATTTTTAGTTGACCACAAACGGTTACTTATGTACAATCGAAAAGAAAACACATACAGATATCCAGAGACTTTCAATATCTTTGGTAAATGGTTTGGCACAGAGACCTACTTGGAGAGCATTGTTTCGCCTATGTATCACAATGTGGTTTAAAATCAACATCAAGAAGATACTATTTTAGTATTTTGTACGTAGGTCTAACTAGTATTTTGTATGTAGTTCCATAAAATGTACTTTTTCTTTAATAAACTTTTCATTAATTAATTAACTCAATCTCGTGAATTCTACCCTAGGATTTTTGTCAAAATATTGTGGGTTCTTTTCACTTTGATCATAACAGTTTATTTTTGTTTCTAATTTAAGGCGGGGGAACTAAAATTATAGCCCCTTCTTCCTTCCTTCTTTAGCCCGCCCTTCCCTCACTGCGCATTTCATAGAGATTAGACTTCATATAAAATTCTTTATTCATCTACCACACGGGGCCGACACCTAAGCCGCTACGGAATTTGAGTTAAAATCACTAGAGCAGTGCTACACATCTCGAATTAAAATTTGAGATGTGATCTTGAATCCGATGTGACGATAATAAAAAAGATATTAATATCCTCTAATTTAATACATATTACATTGTACTCTTTTATCAATTTTGTTTTCCTATTTTAGCAAATGAATTAAAAAAGAACAAATAATTACAATAGGTTTCGTCTCTCTATGTTTAATTTGCTTTCCTCTACTAATCTTTTTCAATATATATACAAGTGTGTGTATATATATATATTCTCTTTTGCACTCTCTATTTTTTTCGACAACTCTATATCTTTGTTGGGTATGTATTTAAAATTCAATTGTAATTAGAAAATATCAAATCCAAATACAATTATAAAAAACTTTTAAGTGAATTATGTAAATTAAGATTCTTATCCACAGGAAAGAGATTATTTATGGTAAAAATTTGTAACTTCTAGTTTTAATTATTTAAAAATTGAGTCGTGCTATTTGGCTAGATAAATAAAAACCTACTACTTCACTAAGTCTATGTGCCTACGCATGTGTCAAATATAATGGAACCCATTTTAAAATAAGGCGAATTACAAAAGTCCCTCCTTTACTATTACCCAGTTGCGAAAACCCTTATGAATATTTTTGACAAAAAATCCTCCTCAACAATCCCAAGGGGGTGTTTTTAACTGATGTCCTTTTAAATGGTTGTCTGATGAAATTTTTTGGACGAAATTACCCCATAAAAAATTATTCTTTAGACAATTTATTTATTTTTTCTCTTTTCTCTCTCCGCGTTAAGCAAACCTTCGATCTCATTCCTTCAAACACAAAGCTAATAGCAGATCGAGAAACCCAATTCTTGAAAATTTATCTTTCAACACTGCTTAGACAACATGATATAGCACATGTAAATACTAGTTGAGGCCCCAAGAATAATTAGCTATATTCATTTAATTTATGACTTCTTTTTATTTATTTACCTTTATTATTGGTTTTCATTTTTTTGGGTCATGATTTCATCCATTTAATTGAACAATCATTTGTATGTAAAAAGTGTGATGTTTCCTTTAGTTTCTTACCATCTTAATAATAATAATTTTTTTAAAAAAAACATCTTAATAATAAGAGTGAGTAAACTTCACAGAAATTACCCCAATACTTCGTCCATATGGTATGTAATTTTCGAGTAGTAGGTGGTGGACAGTATATAATGAGATGATAAATGGATTTCTCTCA